ATCAAAAAATCATTTTTAAATTGAAAAGATAACTTCTACTTTTAGAAAAGCTAGCAACTATACTCTCTCCCCTTAGTTTGATTGCCAAATAATTATTTATTGGGTATCCATCTGAGGACGGCCTCTCTCCCCCTACTGCTATATCAATATCATCACTTTTTTTTTCTTAATTCCCAGCCAAACCCTACATATGTTAATAGGATTGCTATTTTTGGTAAAATAAAAAAAATAATAAAAAAAGAAAAAAGAAAACTACTACCAATATAAATAATCCATGATTGTGGGATATACATTCTAAAGCAAAAACATTCAAAAGGAGGAAAAAAGAATGGCCAACGAGAAAACAAACATGGCAATCCATGAAGGTCAAATCTGCTTCTCACTCATGGAGTTTCCAACTATGGCATCCGTGCTAATGGTTGTTCGAACTGCCATTGAGCTCAGAGTATTCGATATAATTGCAGATGCAGGGCCTGAAGCTCAACTCTCTGCAACCGAAATCGTTTCATACATTCCCACATGTAATCCCAAAGCTGCAGAGAGATTGGATCGAATGCTGGGATTGCTTAGTGCTAGTGGTTTCTTGATCAATACTTCTCCAAGACAATCCCACGACGGGACCAGAAGTGAAAGGACTTACAGCCTCTCCAAGATGTCTCACTATCTGTTAAGAAACTCAGAGGGATTTTCCATAGCTGCCGCTATGCTTTTTGTCACCAGTAGGGAGATATTTGAAAGCTTTTATGTGCTTAAGGATGCTGTTCTTGAAGAGGGTTTCCAAGACTACTTTACTAAGGCTCATGCAATGACTCTTTATGAGTATACCGCAAGGTACCCCAATTTTGCCCAAATATTTGATGAGGCCATGGCAAGTTTCAGCAAATCATCGTTATTAGATGGATTGTTCAATGTGTACGAAGGTCTTAAAGATGTAACGGAATTGATGGATGTTGGTGGTGGCTATGGAACCACCCTTCAACAAATACTCACTCTCAACCCAAATATTCGTGGAATTAATTTTGATCTCCCCCAAGTAATTGATTCTGCTCCAAAAATTCCAGGTACGATTTTTCTCCCCCTCTTTCCTCTGCACCGTACCCAGCTTCCTGTTATAATGATATGCTTCGTTAATGCCATCATGCATTAATTTTGAATCATAAATATATATATATATATATATATATAGGAGTTGAACATGTTGCTGGGGATATGTTTCGATCATTACCGAAGGCTGAATCAATCGTGATGAAGGTACTATTATTATTATTATTATTATTATTATTATTATTATTATTATTATTATTATTATTATTATTATTATTTTGAGTATAAATTTAATATCACATTGACACATGAATAGCACGCACGTTCCCTCCTTCACAATAGATATATTGATCTTTGAATTAATCCTGCCCTACTTCATTGAAAAATAATTTGCTTCATTAAAAAATAATTAAGGGCGTGTTGTGTGCCTAACAGACGATCCTCCACAACTGGGATGATGACAAATGCAAGATGTTGTTGAAGAACTGCTGGGATGCATTGCCTAACAATGGGAAGCTGACAATTCTGGAATTTATCGTTCCTGAAATGATTGAAAACACCCCAGAGTCACAACTTACAATGTCGGTTGACATCCAAATGCTAACTCTTTTTGGTACTAAGGAAAGAACATTACTTGAATACGAAGGATTGGCAAAGTCTGCAGGATTTTTGGGGCCAAATGACTTCCCTACCATGCATGGGTATCATATCTTGGAATTTTTCAAGACGGTAGTGGAAAGAGCATGAGCACTCGAACACTTTGTTACAATCAAGAAGAAAAATAAAGGAAAACTCTCTTCCACTCTAGTTATTTTCCCTTTTATAATAATTTACGTATTGACGGGGAGTTCACGTACGTTCTACCGTTGAAGCTTATATAATATAATAAAGATGTAATACCTTTGGGCTATTAATTGCTTAATTGGGTTGGGTTGGTCATGTAACTTTTATAATTTTTATATATCAATAAAATTTTATTTCTCATGAAAGAAAGAAAAATATATATATATAGAGAGAGAGAGAGTAAAGGTTCTCCAATATGCTGATTTGGTTTCCAATCTAAATAATGAGATACAATACTTTTATATACAAATGTTACACAAATTATAATTATTAATTTTTTTATTATTAATGATTAAGATTTATTATGAATTTTTAAAGATTGTGTGTAAGTAGATCATAATCCTTAGAAAAAAATATAAGATAAAAAAAAATAAATCTTAATTATCCGTAGTAAAGAGATATATGTAAAATTCATGTGTAAAATAATGCTAATTCCTAAGCAATATATAAAATATATAGCAATAAGAGTACCCTAAAAGAATTTTGGAATCCCTATTTTACAATTCCGTATAACAATTCTAATTATATCAAATTGTAAAATAGATACTATTAGATGAGAAAAGAATCTTTAATATTAAAAGATTTAATTTTTATTTAATAGTTAATGTTGTGTAGTTTATATTGCACAATATTTATTCTTAAAATTTTTTCTATAAAAAGGATTATTTAGTATCTACTATCCATATTCCAATATCTCAAAAAAAAAAAAAAAAAAGGAAAGAAAACAGCACTTACAAAGATTTCATTTGGGATTACCGCATGCAACACTTTTTCACAACACTTATCCAATTTTTACACCGACCTGAAGGATGGAAAAAATTTCTTTTTAAAAGCTGGATCCTATTTTGGTTGTGCTGGTCCTAGCCTGGTGGCTATCGGTTCTGGACCCATAAACCGACAACCGTTCAACTGGGCTTCAGTCAAGGGCAGCCCAACTGGAATTGGAAAAAGGCGAACTCCTTGGTTTCGGACCTTCGGTGTCGGGCGGGCTCAATCTTTTTTTCGAATTTATGCAATTACACCCAAGGCAAATCAGAACTTTTAACGGTACGAAAAAAAAAAAGGTTTTAACATCAAAAAGGAAAAAAGAAAAAGAAAATCAAGGAGCTACAATATAAAAAAATTCCAACATTGTTGTGACTGTGTAAAAAATATAATAAAAATAATTTCAAAAAAAAAAAAGGAGAGAAAATACTGTAGAATAAATATTATAAGAAAACCAATCCTAATAATTGGAACCAACTATATTATATTTTGATAATGAAAATGATATGGTTATAATGCAAAATGATATTATAAACTTATAATATAATATATCATTGTATAATTGATTATTTTTATTCAAAGATTTATTTATAATTATTATATAAATGTACTTATTTAATTACACATCATATTCATTTAATAATGCATCATAATTATAAATTTAGTCTTATATAGCATTGTAACTATATAAGATTGGCATTTGGATAAAACGCCTATTGAACAATGAACAGAAGGTAGAGGGTGGCAAATAAGGAGTAGCTGCGTGTAAATAGCGAATAGAATAGATTTTAATTGAAATGATTTGTTGCTATTGTTTCCCATTAAATAGTGGTAGTAACTAATAAAAATATATGTAAAAGTAATTAATTATAGGGATTAAAAAAATTAAAATGTTTTAGTAATTAAAATGTTAAGATTGTCTTTAAAAAGATTTAAATATTTTTAATAAATCAAATGCAAGAAAAATTCATTAATGAGTCGGATAGGCCAAACTCACCCCACCTATCATTTTGCTTTGCTATTAGATGGACTGTTAAATGTGTACAACGGCTTTAAAGATATAAAGGAATTGATGGATGTTAGTGTGGTGGCAAATGGGAATGGAACCACCCTTCAAAATATTCTCTCTCTTTATCCAAAATTTCGTGGAGTCATTTTTTATCACCCCAAGTTATTGATGCTACTCCTAAAATTCCAGGTATGATTTTTCTCCCCCTCTTTCACCTCACCCACCTTCCCAATATGCTTAGTTAATGCCACCATTGGATCGTACACAGACATTTAACATGTTGCTGGGGGAATGTTCCCAATCCGTACCAAAGGCTGGATCAATCATATTGGAAGGTATGATTATTCATTTTTTGTTGGGAAATGTTTGGAACATTACCAAGTACTAGATCAAACTTCTAATTAACTATTATATGGAGTGAACCCCTAATATAATTGTGGGTCTTCTCCATCAAATAGTTCTTCAAATTACAAGATTGCTTTCTTATATTACCCGACTTTATTTCACATCTAATTTGCTTTCAAGAAAAAAAAAAAACTGACTTTATTTCATATCTAAAAAGTAACTAATTCAACAATGAAACCAAAATAATATTTTTTCTAAACCTAATGGAACCAAATTAATTAAGTGTTTTTCAAAATTGCTTTCTTATATTGTTTTTGCATAAGCAAGACAGAAGATGTGGGAATTCAGTCTTGGAAAGGGCAGCCACAATTTTGTATAGCTGAGCTCTCAAGAGGGCCAGGAATTGCTTGTTTGGGTTTTCTTCAACAAAACTTAAATCTGACAAAACTCTTTCCAAGTCCTAATTAAACCGTTCTGCCAAGAAGCCTGCTCTTTGAGGGTAGAGGGTGATTACTTTTCCACACAAGCTATGTCCTGGGCTGTTGATGATTTCAAGATTCAGCTGGTGCAGAGTACTTATACAATATGCATGGCCAACATATTGTCAAGAAATCAAAATGTTAATCAGGACCCCAAAAGATTAGGGTAAATTAAAATAATATATTGTTAAATTCTTTTTAATTAATTAATTAGCAGTTAGCACCTTGCCCTTGCGGCCTAATGGCAATAACCACCCCGGTGCATTCCCCCTCACCGGGCTGGGTTCGAAACCCGCCACTTCCAAATATGTTCAAAAAAAAAATAAATAAATAATTAGCAGTTAAATGATAGATACTCCTTTGTCTCATAATAATTATTGTTATCTTTTTATTATATCCAAAAATTAAGGATTTGTAAAGGATATGTACTTTATGTTTTTGCCAGTTTCATAGAAAAGAAATAAGACCCAAAAAATCTTGAAAATAGGATAATTAATTAGGAGAAGGAAGAGATTACGTACGAGAAGATTTTGTTGATACCGTAAGATCTTAAAGTATGGTTAAAATAGGAAAAAAAAAAATCACCACCTTAAAAATAAAACTAAAAAGACTATTAATTGGAGACAAATTTTTTATATAAAATAAAAAATTATGTAGAATACATGCAATTAGTAAAAGTGTATAGTATAGATTATAAAAATTACACAAAACATACAATTCAGGAAAAATCTAGAGAAAACTCACCATTTATGGGAGTATAACTCACAAAATTTGTAAAGCCTTTAGTTTCCAATGCTTTAACCAATTATTTTGTGATTAAGTGAGTAGTTGACATTAATTTTGTTTACCACCTGAAAAAATTAGGTTCTTAATATTAAGCTCTTCACATTGATCATGAATTAATAATTTTTAGTTATCAATTGGACTAACTCTCGTTAGTGTTGATATATTAATTAAGGGTAGTGTTATATAGATAATTTTTTTATATCAATTTTTAGTATAATTTTCATGTATCATTAAATAAATAGATGTATTAAATATCATGGGTCTCATACAAATTAAAAGAACTAATCATTTAAATGACACGTTAAATTATATTAAAATATGATACAAAAATATTGTCTCAAAATCATTTTCCATTAATTAATGAAAAAAAAAATATACATATGTAATCTTAACTTGTCGTCTTTTTGATGAGAGTCTATTTACATCTATCTATGTGTGTTAGAGAGAGATGATCTTCTTTCCATTCAAACTGGCCTTTAAATTTATCAAAATGAAAGTGTTTGATTGTTTGATTGCATCTACCATTATGACTTAACCCAAAATCTACCCTCAAAAAAGAAGATAAGAATAGATTTGTCTCTTTAAAAAAGTAAGGATAAGTTTTTCTTCAAAATCATTAATTAAAATAAATTATTCATTATTTAACGTATTATGTTATTATATGTCAGTTTTTTATTGAAAACAAATTTAATTGGCAAATGAACTTCTAATATGTGATAACGTTATATTTTAAATAATAAGTAATTTATTATAATTGATAATTTAGGATAATTTAGAAGGCAATTTGTTTTCCTTTTTCTTTTTGAGCGACAAATCTAATCCTTACTTTCTTATTTGGAGGCCAAATTTAGGGGTTTGGCCTACCTTAATTAACTAATAGAAAAGGGCTTCACTGATTAAAGAAAAAGTTTAAAGGACATATGCTTATGCCGTTGCCATTGATTATTACAAAAATAAATAAATAAATAAATATCTCTTTTAAGTTCTTTTGCTTTTGCCACCTAACATTCTAATCGTAAAAATATCCATAGATGGGTCACATCCCAACTGGCAGATAACGTGCCAATCATCGATAACCGCTCCTCTTAACACTGTCTTTTTCTGGACTGGGACCCAGACGAAACGGCTGTAGTTAAGACCACCTAATTGTTTTGTTAGGTCAATTTTTCTTTAAAAATATAGGTCTGTTT